AGGGGTCGTCCAGAAAGCACGTCCGCTTTTCTCAGGTTGGATTATTATCGTCAAAATTTCTGGAGCTCGGCGCCTGCGAAAGCCAGGGTAGGCAAGCCAGCAGTGCATGCGTGCACTGCAGGCAAGATGTTGCCTACCGATCAGGCGCTATGAGAGCTTCAGTTGGCTGAACTTGGCAGTTTCGTAACGGCAAAAGGCGGACGCATAATTTCTGGATGGTCCCTAAACGGTCGCGCAACGTTCCCCACACCGCTGAACGTAGGTTTTAGAAGCCCTGGAAAATTTCGGGGGGAAACGGTAAATTTCCGGGGGGAAATTGAAAATTCCCCAGACTTTGCAAGTTTTTCGTTATTTTCCAGAATTTTTTGGAATTTTTTTCAGAACGGGCACTTCTTTTCCACGGGATTTCATAATCTAAATCGAAAGTACCTATGATCTTCAGAGCGCCGCGGCATGGTTCCCGCACGTTTGGCTTTGGAGTGACCTCGCAAATATAGGTTCAACCAACCCATGAGAAAGTGTTAGTCGGCCATGGACAAAGCAAATCTTCCACGGTGAAAAATAAAGAGGGAGGTCTACAGAAAAATTTTCCTTGACGCAAGTTGTAAAATTACAAATTGCAATCGTAAAAGTACATGCAGTACGTATCGACTTAAAATCCACTTGCGAGTCAAAACTGTGCTCTCGTAAATGTGCTCTCGTAAGTGTGCTCTCGTACACTGTAAAAAATATCGTCGTAAATTTACAAAATTTTTGTAAACTCGAATTACAGGGTGTCGAGCGACCCTGGAATCCTTGAAAACCCGGGAAAAACCCTTGAATTTAAATCGTTCGGGAAATACCCGGGAAAAACCCTTGAATTTTGCTCAAACCCGGGGAAAAGTTCGCAGAGTCCTCGTCACCGAGCATCTGATCTCCGTATTGCAACGCTCTTTGCACGCCTCGCCTTTTTTTTGTGTCCATTCCTGCTCTGTAGATGGACCAACCCTTTTCGTGATATAATTTTGGGACTATTGTTAAGAAAACTTACCCCTATGAGCAAATTTTTGTCTCCAAAAAGTCCTCTAAAACCCTTGAATTTTGACGATTTTGCCCGGGGAAAACCCGGGAAAAACCCTTGAATTTATTAATTGTTCGCCGCTCGACACCATGAATTACAATTTAAGCTGTAAATTTACGAGAGCACATTTTTAACTCGCCAATCGATTTGAAGTCGATACGTACTTCATGTATTTTTACGATTACAAATTGTAATTTTACAACTGGCGTCAAGGAAAATTTTCCTGTAAACCTACGTACTTTTTTTTCATAGTGTAAATGTGCTCTCATAAATGTACGACATGAATTATAATTCGAGTTTACAAAACTTTAGGACGATATTTTTCACAGTGCCTAGGTAGAACCTTTTTCCGAGTGGGTCCCTCCGCCGGGCAGATGGACCGCCTCCTCGGGGTGGGGTAGTGGGGTGTCCCCTCCCCGCCTCGCGAGGGGCTGGACGCCCTGATGCCGGCCGGGTGGCCCGCACGGCCAACAAGCTTACGGGCGGCTTGTAAGTAGGTCATTTGAATGGGGCTCCCCTTCCCCCCCCCTACTTTTATTGACTTTTAGCAGATGATACAACTGTTAAAAATTGTAACAGTAAATCCCTATAGACTGGTCCGAATCCGAATGGTCTGGTAATTTTTGAAACAGTGCGATCCTGTAGTCGGGACTGGACCACATACTATGGAAAAAATTTCTTTTCAAGCACGGTCAGGTATTTGTTCCTCATAAATCCCAGTCAAACAGATTTGGACAGTAGTATGAAGGTACAGGACGATCTGTATGTATTCCGTTTCTATAGGTACAGAA